GGGGATGGGAGGGAGAACAGCCCACACGTACTGGTGTGGCTTAGCCTCTGCTTATGAAGTTGCTAAGCATCCCTCTGGCAAAGCAAGCCACATGTGGCCACCAGCCTCAGAATGGACACAGAAATGGCATCTTCACTTTAGAATTTTTTATTTATTTTCATTTCTATTTAAAAGCAAAGGGAGAGGCATTTTCCATCTGCTGCTTCCCTTTCCAAACAGCCACAATGGCCGAGACTGGGTATGACCAAAGGCAGGAACCAGCAGCTTCTTCCCAGTCCCCCATGTGGGTGCACAGGCCCAGGCATTTGAGCCAACTTTTGCTACTTTCCCAGGCCATTAGCAGAGAGCTGCATTGGAAATGAAGCTGCCGAGACAGGAACCCATGTGCGATGCCAACACAGCAAGCAGTGGCTATGCCACAGCACTGACCCTGTCTGACCAGTTTTCCCTCTTCCTATCTCTCTCCCTCCGCACATCCCTCTTTTTCTCTCCACCATGCTCTTATTCCCTCTCCCTATGAATATAACTTTCAAGTAGATGGGAAAAATTTTTTCTGTAAATATTGGGATGTCTGTGCACAGTGCCCAGCTCCACTCCCACCTTGCTACTAGTGCAGAGCTAAAAGGCAATGTGATATCTCCAGTGCCACCTACATGGGCAGCGTGGATTATATTCCGTGTTCATTGCCACGGCTGTACCACAGGGCCACTGCATTTAAGGAGCCAATAGAGCCGTCATGCCAGACTCTAAACTTTTTCTTTTAATTACATTTTCCCGGAAACTTTTTGAAGTCCTTGGATCAGGATTCTCTAGAGACAAAATAGGTAGAGGACAGATATATACACACCAGGAAGTTTGTGATAAGGGATTGGCTTACATGGTGATGGAGTTCGAGAAGCCCTGTGATGTGCCACCTGCCAGTCAGGTTCCTAGGAAGGATGGGCAGGCGGAGGCGGGATGGGGTGGCTAGTTCCAAGGCAGTGAGGAAGGCTGAGGGCAGAAGGACACAGGATTGCATCATGATAGGGTGGGGCGGCCCACATGGCAGGGTTGTCTGCTTTGCTCAGTCCACCGGTTTACGTGTTAGTCTCTCCAGTAAATGGTGTTTAGCCAGGTATGTGAGCATCATTTGGCCTTCAGACAAGTTGACCATAGAATTCGCCATCACTGGGCACCTGTCAGTGTCACCCCAGCCAGTGAGAGACAGTGCTGGAATGCCCAGCAACCTTGGCCCGTAAGAACAGGTCAGGGGAGCAGGAGTGTTTCTTCTGAGGTTGGGAGCGAAGGCCGTCTTGCTCGCTTGTTTGTCCTTTGACCTTATAAAAGAAGATGAGCCAGGAGGCAGAAGCTGAGAGGCTGGGAGGACAAAGAAGAGAAAGGAGCAGAGCCCAGGCAGTTTGAGGAACTTGCAGCTCTGACTGCTGCCTCATTTTCCAGCTTCTCTGGCTGCCTTCCTGTGCTTTTCAGAATCCTAAATAATTTCATAGCACACAATCCAGTGATAAGAACTTACGTAGATCATTCCAGGAAGTGCCAAGTGGCATTCCATTCCATGCCTGGGAGGAGCCCACAGCGCTGTGTTCCCAGGGCATGGGGTTGGCCTCTTGTGCAAAAGCACGTGTTCTCAGTGCATTCCCCAAGGTGCTGAGTGCACTTGGTGCAAGGACTACTCATATTTGCCAAGGTGAGATTCAGGTCAAAGGGATTTGGTTTTTAAGATATATGTGTTTATTCAAAAGAATTATAGACAGAGAAGAGAACGAGACAAAGAGAGCACTTCCATACACTGATGCTCTTTCCCAAATGGCTGCAGCGGCCAGGGCTGGGCTGGATGTAGGGTTACTGCTACATGCAGGTTGACAGCAGCCCCTTCAAGCCTTCTCCTTGCAGGGTCCTGCCTGGGGTGGGGTTGAGGGGAGATCTGTGCATGAGGCAGTGAAGAGGGGGTGCAGCTGAGAGCAAAGGGGCAGCATCCCCATGTGCTGTGTCCCCGTAGATGGAGTGACGACCATGCCACTCATTATCACTGTAGCTTCTTAGGGAAGGGAATGTGGTCCTGATCCCTCAGAATGTGGAAAGCAGGACTCACCTGAGCAAACTAGGAGAAATGGTCACCTGCCCTGGAGGAGTGGAAGCAGAGATGGGTCAAGAGACTGTGCCATAGTCCCCTCTGAGCGGGTGACTGTCCAGCCCTTCACCCTGCCCTCCTTGTCCAGAGTCCAGCTTCTGTAAGGCTCCAACTGCCACTTAAACCCTAGCTCCCCTGAGTCAGCCACTGCCGCTGTGCTCTGGAGCTGAGCCACCTCCTGGGCCTTGCTCCTCGGTCCTGCCAGGCAGGGGCCGCCAGCCTGGTCTCTCTCCAGGATCTGTCCCTCCCTCATCTGCACCAGGTGGAGGCAGGTGCCTGGCAGGTGCCTGGCCAATGTGTAGCACAGACATGCTAGGAAAACGCTCCAGGGTGTGCTCCTCTCAGAGGGCAAAGTCTTCACATAGCATGTTGGTGTTAGTAGTAAACTAAACCCATAACTAGGCATTGCAAGAATGTTTCTTTAAAGATTTGTTTAGTTATTTGAAAAAGTTACACAGAGAGAGAAGGAGAGACAGAGAGAGACATCTTGCATCTACTGGTTCAATTCTCAGATGTCTAGCCAGGCCAAAGGTGAGAACTTCATCCAGTTCTCCCAAGTATTTGGTGTATGGGGGCCCAAATACTTGGGCCGTCCTCTGCTGCTTTCCCCAGACCATTAGCAGGGAGCTGAAACAAATATGAACCAAAATATGAACCATTACCAGTTTGGAATGACTGTGCCTGTCTGGGATGCCTGCATCACAGACAGTGGCTTTATACCTTTTCTACCACAACACTGGCCCCCAAGAATGTTTATTATCTTTTCCCCAAGGCCAGATTCTAAGCACACACTCAGGTCTAGCCTTTGCTCAGTGAGCCAGGGGGAGGAAAACTGAAGCCTTCAGGCTCTAAGTGGGTATGAATGTTCAAGACTGACTGCTAGGGCAGATTTTGCAAGTTTTCAATGCAGTAACTCACATGTGCAAGCCACCAGGTCACAGTTCCTCTCGTCCTAGAAGGACCACAGCAGCAGCCGGGGGAGCCAGAGGAGGAACTGAGCCAGTGTTCCCTAACTAGGGCACAGCTGAGGTGTTGAGGGGAGAGCACAGACCCAGGACCTAAGCCTATGAGAAGTGGCTAAAAGCAAGCCTAGAAGGGTGCTCTGATGCTGAAGCTGCCCCGGCTGGGGCAGGGACCCCCACGCTGCACTGAGCGTGCAGGGACCCCCGTGCTGCACTGAGCGTGCAGGGACCCCCCATGCTGTACTGAGTGTGCAGGGACCCCCCCCCGTGCTGTACTGAGTGTGCAGGGACCGCCCCCCATGCTGCACTGAGTGTGCAGGGACCCCCCCCCGTGCTGTACTGAGTGTGCAGGGACCCCCCCATGCTGTACTGAGTGTGCAGGGACCCCCGTGCTGCACTGAGCGTGCAGGGACCCCCCCATGCTGTACTGAGTGTGCAGGGACCCCCCCCCCGTGCTGCACTGAGTGTGCAGGGGACCCCCCCCATGCTGCACTGAGTGTGCAGGGACCCCCCCCCGTGCTGTACTGAGTGTGCAGGGACCCCCCCCCATGCTGTACTGAGTGTGCAGGGACCCCCCATGCTGTACTGAGTGTGCAGGGACCCCCCATGCTGTACTGAGTGTGCAGGGACCCCCCTGTGCTGCACTGAGTGTGCAGGGACCCCCGTGCTGCACTGAGTGTGCAGGGACCCCCCCATGCTGTATTGAGTGTGCAGGGACCCCCCCATGCTGTACTGAGTGTGCAGGGACCCCCCTCTGCTGTACTGAGTGTGCAGGGACCCCCTCGTGCTGCACTGAGTGAGTTCTTGGTGGCTTAGTTACTTTCCGTGCTCAGCACCACAAATGGAGTGAAGAAAGGTCACTCTGCTCTTGACCTTTTTGCAGCTGGACCCAGCTCCCCAATGCTCCTGCCCAACCCTGAGGGTCCATGCTGTGTGTGGGTGCACTCCTAGTCCCACCACGGAGCTAGTGCAGGGGGTCGGTGCACAAAGAGATGGCATTTAAGTGAACGTGTGGATGGAAGGACAAGTGGGTGTGTAAGGAAGTATGTGGATAATTGGGTGGACAATGGTGGATGGATGGATGAAAGTGGATAGATATACAGCTGGATGGATAGAGGCAGCGAGGGAGGGAAAGTTGGGTGTGTTGGATAGATGGGCGCAATGGACAAAAGTTATTCTTGGGTCTTTTGCAGTGCCTTTGCTAGCACAAGCATGTAGTAAATGTTTAATAAATAGTCGCTGGCTTTCCGTTTGGAATACAGTGACCCCACTTTCAATTCTGTCTGAGGGGAAGGCCATGCCAGTACGATGGTGCCACCTCAGTGGGTAAGGTGAGTGCAACTGAAGCTGCACCCCACTGTGAGCTCAAAACCCTCTTCCCACCATGTGCCCCTCCCTGCCTGCCAGGGTCCAGGCTGAACAGGGTCTGAGCAACAGGAATCACACTCAGAGTCCCTCCCCCCACCGACTCTGACATGGAAACCCCGTCCTCTGCCACTTTGCCAAGAGGGCAATGGACCACATTAGGCAAGCCATCTCCCAAGAGTGGCTGCACTACCGTGGGTGGAAATAAGCAAGATAGAAAGCCCTCCTCCCTCCCTCCAGCCCCTGCTGTGTCCTTGTAGGACACCCCGAGAGAACCAGCCTCCCAGGTTCTCACAGCCCTGGCAGGCCACCTCTGCCTGAAGAGACCCTGTCCCAACCTGCAGCTTCTCCTGGTGGGAGTGGGTGTTCACCATGGCTGCCTGAGGGAGGGGGTAGCCCAGACACTGTGGTTGCGGGGGTCCATGCAGTCCACGGACACAGACCTGGGGTGGAGGGGTGATGCTCAGCGGCCTGTTTTTCCCCACCATCACCGCCTCCCCGTCGGAACTCAGAGCTGTGTCAGCCCTCTCTGTTTTCTTCCCTAGTGTGGATAACTCTGAGGACCCGGTGTATGAGAGCCTGGAAGAGTTCCATGTTTTTGTGCTGGCTCACATACTTCGAAGACCCATCGTTGTTGTGGCAGATACGATGCTGAGAGACTCAGGTGGAGAAGGTGAGTTCCCCGCCGAACCCAAACCCCAAGAGCTGCAAGGGGCAACCTCCTGAATCAGGAGCAGACAGCACCCCGTTAAGGCTGGGTCCCCAGAAAACCAGCGAGCATTACCTGGTGTGGATTAAATCCACCCAGCTCTGCTAGGCTCTTCTTCACCTTCCTGGCTGTGGCAGAGCTTGCTTTTGGCCTACATGCCAGAAGCAAGTGGCTGTGTGGAGAGCTGGGACTGCGGCCCCATGGTGGGCTCACAGTTCAACAGTGTGCCCTTCCTGCAGCCAGGTGTCCCTGCTCCAGGCTGGGGTCGAGCCGGAGCTGCCAGGGAGAGCCAGGCGCTGGGCAGGGCTGACCCCTTCTCTGAAGCTGGATGTGCTTCAGCCGTCCCCGCAGCCCCATGGGGCCTGGCCCAGGGCAGGAGTGCATCTCCTTGGGTCCTCCAGCCTGCAGCTTTCCAGGGCTGCTCTCAGGAGCCCCCGGGCTAGCCACATGACATGCCGGAGAGGCTGGGTAACCTTGACTCCCAAGGGTGGCTCTTTGAGCTGGGCACAGCTTCCTTCCCCCTGCAATCACCACAGGTCCCACTCCTCACGACTTCCCCCTCCTTTGTGTTGGCAGCGTTCGCGCCCATCCCCTTTGGGGGAATTTACCTGCCCTTGGAGGTGCCCCCAAACAGATGCCATTGCTCACCTCTGGTTCTAGCCTACGATCAAGCTCACTTCTCTGCCCTCGTGTCCATGGAGCAGAGAGACCAGCAGCGAGAACAAGGTAGGCAACAGGGTACTTTCTGCTTAATACCACTAAGGGCGTGTGTAAATGTGTGCATCTGGAAAGATCCATGTTAAAGACCCAGGGAGTGAATAATGCCACCAGTTTCAAAGAGCCATGGCTGCCTTGTGTGTGCATATGGTTTATATAGATCTCACTAGGCTGCTATGTAAATTTGAAGACAAACTAAAGAAAACAGGCTTTGTAGAACAGGAGCTGGCCCCCTGTAAACCATCACTAATATTTGCAGGCGAATTTTGCTGGACCCCCAGCCTCATGTTCCTTCCCTGGGCTTCTGCACTCCTGCAGAGAGCTGATGGGTAGCCACCAAGACTGACGTGCCGCACCCCAAGGGGACACATGCTCTACAGGAAGGTGCCTGCTGCTGTCCTCCCTCCACAGGGTCAGCCCTCCGGGGGCAACCGGACCATAGGCAGGAGGCCCGGTGCCTCTGACTGCCACTGTTGGTTACAGGGGCCGTGGCAGCATCACTGTGTGGCTCCTGGGATCCTCGCAACTACAGCCCTCAAGGACAGTCATAGCCCAAAATCCCGAGTCAAACAGCTCAGTGGGGGCTATGGACCAGAAGCCACAGTCCCACTGCAGTTTCTAGAGAGGGCTCACCAGCATCCGCAGAAGCCCAAGAAAGACTGTCAGACAACAGGAGGCCCAGGCCAGGTGGAGTGGCCTGCCCAGTCTGGTGAGACTCCTGTCCAGCCCTAGGACCTACACTGCCCCAGGCAGGGCTACCACACAACTGCCACAGACTTTGCCCCCTGCAAAGGATGCCTTCTAGAAGACACACCAAGATAGCAAGACACAGACACAGAAGTCATGAGTCCCTGTGCCAGCATTGTGGGATAGCATGTTAAGCTGCTAGCTACAAAACCAACACCCCATGTGAGTTCCACGGATGCTCCCCGTGCTGTATACCCACGTGGGAGACCCAGATGAAACTCCTCACCTGGCCTTCATGTGGCTGAGCCCCAGCTGTTGCAGCCATTTGGAGAGTGAACCAGTAGATGGAAGATCTCTTTCTCTCTTTATCTCACTCATTATCTCTAACTCTGCCTTTCAAGTGAAAAAAACAGAGAAGATAACGAGGAAAGGAAGGGAAAGAAAAAAATCATAGGTCCCAGAGAAGACAGGCATCTTCCACTAGGATTGGAGAACATTCTAGGGAGTCAAGATGAGACAGCCATGTTTGCTAGGCTGGGAACTAACCACCTTCTGCCCGTATTCCCAGCATCCTTTGGGCTGAGCTATCGCATCTCATCCGTGCACATTGAGGCTCCTGCACAGCAGTGCAGGGCATTCTAGAAAATTCTCACCCACCTGCCTTCCTCTGAGTTGACACACCTCCTGGGAGAACCCACTGCTTCTGGGGCTGCAAACACCACTGCTCACTGCCTTCCAGTTCAAGAAGCCAGGTCAGGGGTTAGTCTACTACACCACCATGCCGAGCCCAGACCGATGCTTCCATATCATTTAATTCCCTCTACCTTGTTCTTTCAGTTACAAAGAAGCAAGTGGTGGTGTCTCCAACCACAGTACATTGGTCTGTGTGTGTGATGGTTCTGTGAGCTGTTCGAGCCATCTGCTGGGGTCTGGGCTGTCCCCGGGGTATGGAGGGGTCGGCAGTGGCTCCCTGTGTCCTTGGAAGCACTGTGATCAAGAGCAGGCACACAGTGTTCTGTCCTCTGTCCACTTAGAGAATCCACTCGTCATCACCACAAACCGCCCCTCCTGTGTTTGGTTACAGCCCGTAGTCTGCAGTCTACTTTGCCCATTAATAGCATAGATATTCCATAGGTTTTTCTTTATCGGTGACTATCTTTTTACCTTTCTGTGTCTTTATAATGGTGTCCTAGTAGACAATGTGTACTTTCTATACAAACTGACAATTGCATCTTCTACTTGCAATGTTTCACTGTCATTTAATATTATCATTTAATATCATCAGTGGTAAGGTTGGATTAGATAACCCATGATTTTATTTTTACTTACTTCTTTTTATTATTATCATTTTATGATACAGTTCCATAGTCCCTGGGATTTCTCTTATCCTCTCCCCAATTCCTTCCCCCCTCACTGAGTTCCCCTATATCATTACTATAGTATGGTGTTTCTTACACAGTCATATATCCATGGTTGTGGGCATGGACAATGGCAGAGAGTCCAGTAGATAATCCGTGACTTTTTTAAAAGGACTTATTTTTATTTGAAAGGCAAATCAGACTTACAGAGAGGAGAGACAGAGAGAAAGATCTTCGAGCTGCTGGTTCACTCCGCAAATGGCCAGAGCTAAGCCAATCAGAGGCAGGAGCTTCTTCCAGGTCTCCCAACGTTCCCCGCCATCCTTTGCTGCTTTCCCAGGCCACAAGCATGGAAATGGATGGGAAGTGGAGCAAACTGGGACATGAATGGGCACCCACAAGGGATCCCGGCTCTTGCAAGGTGAGAATTAGCCAGTTGAGACATTGCACTGGGCCTAATCCATGATCTTATTCTTTCTTCTCTATTTGTTCCACCTGTTCATTCTTCCTTCTGTTTCTCTTCCGTTATCTTATCTTTTTGGCTTAATTAATCTTTTTAATGATTTTATTTTAACTCCATTATTGACTTAAGATTTAATCTTCATTATAATTGTTAGCAGATTCCCAACAAACATCTTTAGTGACATAATTCTGTATTCAAGTAATTTCTACTTCATTTGTTATGTAATAGTATGACAAGTGTGTTCCTAATCCTTCCGTCCCACCATTTCTGCAGCTGTTATCATCTTCCACGTCTGCTATAAATATACGAGACATGAAAACACATAACATAAAAACATATAAAGCCTACAGCATATAAACATGTAAGACATATAGCATACATCTAACACACGCAACATTAACATATAAGCATATAACTTGTTGCTGCTCTCTTCACTGTAGATTCCTCATAGCGGTTTTTTAAAAAGAAAAAAAAATGCTATTTTCAAATTTATTCCACTTCCATCACTGTTAACTGTGTAGGTGCAAGCCTCTGTATCTTCTTCCTGAACAATCTCCCTGGACATTTCCCACGGTGCGTGTGGGTGGATGTGCTTGAGATGGTGAAGACAAACTTTATTTCCCCTTCTGTCTCTGTGATAGCGCAGCTGCAGACAGAACTCCACATTCGCAGATTCCCTTCCTCTCAGCACTTGGAAAGTATTACTCCATTATCTTCTGGCCTGCCGTTTCATCAGGAAAGCCAGCCACCGTTCCCATCTTGGTTGCTATGGAAGGCACACGGTTTTTATGGCTGCCTCCAAGATCTCCTCTCTGGTTTTCCAGGCATAGGATTTATACACCGACATTGTTTGGTGTTCTCTTCTTGGGTCTGTTGGTGATCCTTACTGAATTTCGACAAGTTTTCCCATCGCCTTTTCCTAACGCATTCCCTCTGTCCCCTTCTCTTCTCCTTTGGGGATGACAGGACTTAATACTGCCCCGTGGCTGTGGGGCGCTGTGTTTCTCACCTCCTGCCCCACCCTTTCTTCTGTCCCCATCAGGGTAGTTTCTGCTGGCCGGTCTGCATCCACAGCCGCATCCAGCCAGCTGACCTGGCCACTCCCAGTCGCTCTAACTCGCGTCACTGTTTCCCTGTGATGCCCTCCCGATGTCTCCCTGCTGAGGTCGGCCACCACATCCCCCGTGGCATCCCTTCTCTCAGTCAGTTGTGTGTGAGGCCCCCATCTGACAGCATCCATGCCTGTGTCATGTCTGAGCCATGCTCCGCGACAGCTTGCGCCCGTGTCAGTGGGCCCTGCCCTCCGTAAGCAGCGCTGTTGGTTTTGAAAGGAAATTGTAGTTGGTGCGCCCCCACACCCCTGTCCCCGCAGAGAAAGGACAGACAAGTCTGTGGAGGACGCGTCCTCCGAATTGTCGCCAGCGTCTGTGGCATGAGGCTTGCTCCCGCAGAGAGGAGCCTGTGTCACACAGCAGCTTCCCTTCCTCTCACCCCTCAGGGTCCACACTACTTCCCCAGCCCACATTCTGCTCTCTCCAGCTTAACAGTTTCAGCTGAACTCCTCTGGGAGTGCATCTTTCCTTGACTCTGGACTCAGATGGTCACCTCATGGCTTCAGTCCCGTAGCTAGAGATGGGTTGCACGTTTGCAGTTTTTCTAACTTGCTTTTCACATTCCAAACAGAAACAGAGGCCCCCATTCTTTCTTTTTTTAAAACAAGTATGCAGAATAAGTTCAGGTTAGTCTGTGAGGAACTCTCCGTGTTTCCAGGCTAAAACGCAGAAAAAGCCCTGTCAAAAAGAACATAAAAAGTGAAAAATCCTTTCCTATTTCGCAAAGCACTTGCTGTTGCGGACATCTGCCACAGGAGGGCAGCCCGCCGCGTGGCCATCCCCCTGCGGAAAGGGAAGTGTCCCTCCGAGGGGCCGACACCCGCGTTGGGCCTCCCCGGGCTGTCCCGGCCCTCTGCCGAGAAGACGCCTTGGGTTGGGAGGCGCACAGGCACAGGCACCACCAGGCAGGAGGCAGCAGGTGCGGGAGGAAGATGTGGACGATCTGGGTGTGTGTGGACCTGTGCTGGTGTCCACACAGTCATCTGAAACAAGCCAGCATAGCAGTGGCTTTGTCACCGAAGCTTGGGTCCCAGGCGGGTCACCTAGAACAGGTGTTCCCATGGGCAGGCAGCTCTTCTCCCAGGGAGTGTCCCGGTCTTCCAGAGGACGTGTTAGGGAGAGGAAGTGAAACTGCTAAAATCTTACCCTAACAGGCCTGCGACCCTACTCCACGTGCGGTGGGGGGAAGGGGCCAATAGATGCGTTCCCATAACAACTCGGAGAGGGTGGGAGGTGTGGACGGCCCAACCCTCAGGGTCCCTCTACTCCGCAGTTAGCTACATCTGGCAGATTGTTCCAAGTTTGCCGGGATTTGAGAACCTTGGTGGCAGTATTTGGGGCGAAGGGGAATCTCCTTTTCCTGCATGTCCATCTGCGTGGGGGCACCTGGACCTCTGAGGGGACAGGGCCAGCTGGGCAGAGCTCCATCGGGGCTCTATGTGCAGGTGGCCAGCCAGGCAGCCCCTCACTGTTGGTGCAGGGTGGTACCATGTGCCCCTAGCCTGGGTTCAGCCCATAGCCCAGCCCGCCTCAGGTGCTCCAGTACCTGCTAACCCATGTCCTGAGCAGGGGGGCTGCTGCCAGGCTCTTAGGCACCTGTGTCCCACCACCGGAGGACAGCACCAGCGCAGTCTCCCATTGCTGTTGGCCCTTTAGTTCCAGGTGAGTCATTGAGAGATCCTCCCTGAGCACTGCCACACCCAGAGGCCTAGCCATCATTCCCTCCTGCCTGCCCGCCATTTACCTCTCCTCCTCCTGGGGATCACCCTTCCCTGACCTACTCGCCTGCCCACCTGCCCCGGCCATGAGCTCCCTCTGGGCCAGGGCCTGGCTGCTCCAGTGGTGCCAGGCAGGGGTTCCAGCCATGCTCCGTGAAGCCACAGAGCAGCAGAGCGCAGCAGAGGCCCTAAGTGGCACACCCAGTGGCTCCCCAATTCTGGAAGGACAGGGAAGGCCCAGCCCCCTGGCCACTTGGAAGTTGCCCTAACCGTGCGTCTGTGGCCCTGGGTCCTCCCTCAGTGCCCATAGGGACAGCAGTAGCAGATTATTGCTTAGTGGTCTTGAACCAGCGTGGGCACACACAGACCCTGAGGCCAAGGGGCGCAGGCCTCCATGTTTACCCACAGCTGGAGGAGGGGGAAGTGTAGCCCTCCTGTGGTGTTGTGTGGGGACTCCCTTGTGGGGGAGGGCGCTGCCTAGAACGAGCCTTCTCTCTGTTCCAGCTGTGATCCCCCTGACAGACTGCGAGCACAAACTGCTCCCCCTGCACTTTGCTGTGGATCCGGGCAAGGACTGGGAGTGGGGCAAAGACGACAGCGACAACGCGCGACTGGCCCAGTAAGGCCGGACCCTGCCCACCCTGCCTCCTTCCCCTCCTGGGGTCCCTGCTGCCCCCGCTCCACCGGGGACGGGCGGGAGGCCAGGCCTGTGCTTCACTGAGGTTTGTCCTCCACTCTTGTCAGCCTCATCCTGTCGCTGGAAGCCAAGCTGAACCTCCTGCACAGCTACATGAATGTGACGTGGATCCGGATCCCCTCAGAGACGCGGGTGAGCCCTGCCACCTTCCCTGCCACCTCCTCAGGGGCACCTGCAGCCCAGGGAGCCCGGGGAGCCCCACCCACCCTGCTCCAAGTACCTTCACTTGGCACCTGGTGTGTGAGCAGGCATGGCCGCATGGGGCGGGTTTTTGTCCTTTACTTTTCCCCACAGAAGGAGAGGTGTAAACACACCCACTCAAAACAAACTGCAGGCAAGTCACAACACAGAGCTATCTCTGCTGGGATCGGAACACGCTGTGCTGCCCTGCCACAGAGCAGAATTAATTACCAGCTGTGTGTGGGTCCCTGGAAAAGCCAGGGAGCCCAGCGCACCCCCTCCCTGGGGCAGCGCGCTGGGGGGTAGAGCTGGCAGGGGTGGAGAGCTGCGGGGGAGCACCGTGCTGCCCCTGCTTGCAGAGCCTTGGGGACCGGCCTCAAGAAGCTGACAGATGTTTTTGTAATCTCAGTAGTCAACCCCCAGGGCAAGGGCTTCACAGAAGCCGCCTGCAGATAACTGGTCCTACCCAGGCCTCGGTTTACTTAGGCTTCAAGCGGGGCCTTGGAAGGAATGTTCTGAGGTGCCCCCCCCCCCCCGGGAATGCAGAGCAGCATCCGGCACATTCATTCAGGGATGCTGGGGGCGCTCACAGCACGCCCACACTTCTGCCCTGACCTGCTCTGGATCCTTTGGGCTCCCAGCAGGCTACCTCTGATGCCCCGTTTTTAACAGATGGCACAAGTGAGTCAGCTGCTCAGGACTCAAGTGCAGGGCTCAGCCTGGAGGTGGGCAAGAGCCAAGCCTCGGGAGGCAGCGAGCCACCTCCTCAGCTCTTCCGGAGCCCAGGAAAGCCAGTTTCAAGGACACTGTCTCCGGCTGCATGCAGTGGCCAGCAAGACGGGTCCTGCCCGGTGACACTCTTGCGGATCCTCTGTGCCCTCCTGGGGAGGTGTCCCCTCAGAGCAGCAACAGGTCCACCAGGCCTCCAGCAGCACCCCAATCCTGGTCTGGCCCATGTTCCCACCATCCTTACCCTTCCTGTGGCTGGCTGAGCAGGGTTAGCACCTCTCATCCAAGGTGTCTGCTGAGGTGCCCTCCTCCCCCACCGCCCCGTGTCACGCATGCCCACAGGAGGCCAGGCCTGGGAACGGTCACATCCTTTCTACCCAGCCCTACTTCACACTGCTTCTCTGTTGTCACTCCACACAAGCACTCAGAAAGGTGTGGCATCCCAGGGGGTCTGTCCCAGGAGCTCAGGAGTAGGGCTCTGAGGGCCAGATGTCTATATCCTGCCTGGAGGGAGCGTGACAGTGTTTGTAGGAGAGACCTTGTGTGCAGGTAAGCCATCTTCCTCTCCTGAAGACCTCTGCCGTTACAGTGGAGGCCATCCTGGGCCATCCTGGGCCAGTGTGGTCCAGCAGGCAGCTGCAGGGGGAAGGGGTGCATGGCAGTTCTCTCTGAAACTTGTCAGGGCTGTGGGGCTATGTGCACCCCAGCCACAGGGCCAGATTGCACATACGGATGCGGAGGACCCTACTGAGCCTTCCCAGACACCTGCAGGCTCCTGTTTTCATTAGCACAGCTGATCAGGGCCAGTTCTCCCCTAGGCTCCCGTCATGTCGAGTCAACCAGGACAGCAGTGGGTACTGGAACGGCGAGACTTGGGGACGGGGCTAGGCTCAGCTGGTGGTGGTGGCCTCCTTAATGGCCTCTCCCCTGCCCCGTCCGCCCTCGCAGGCGCCCCTGGCGCAGCCCGAGTCCCCGACGGCCTCAGCAGGGGAAGACGTGCAGTCCCTGGCCGACTCGCTGGACTCTGACCGGGACTCCGTGTGCAGCAACTCTAACAGCAATAACGGCAAGAACGGCAAAGACAAGGAGAAGGAGAAGCAGCGCAAGGAGAAGGACAAGACGCGGGCGGACTCCGTGGCCAACAAGCTGGGCAGCTTCAGCAAGACGCTGGGCATCAAACTGAAGAAAAACATGGGCGGCCTGGGCGGCCTGGTGCACGGCAAGATGGGCCGCGCCAACTCGGCCAATGGCAAGCATGGCGACGCCCCCGAGCGCGGCAAGGAGAAGAAGGCCAAGTCGCGCAAGGGCAGCAAGGAGGAGTCGGGCGCGTCGGCCAGCACGTCGCCATCGGAGAAGACCACGCCGTCGCCCACGGACAAGACAGCAGGCACGTCGCCCGCCGAGAAGGGCAGCGGGCCTCGCGGCGACGCCTGGAAGTACAGCACGGACGTGAAGCTGAGCCTGAACATCCTGCGCGCCGCCATGCAGGGCGAACGCAAGTTCATCTTCGCCGGCCTGCTGCTCACCAGCCACCGGCACCAGTTCCACGAGGAGATGATCGGCTACTACCTGACCAGCGCGCAGGAGCGCTTCAGCGCCGAGCAGGAGCAGCGGCGCCGCGACGCAGCCGCCTCGGCCGCCGCCGCCGCCACCGCCGCCGCCGCCCCCGCCGCCTCGTCCTCCTCCACCGCCGCCTCCAACTCCACGGCCAAGCGGCCGCCGCGCAGGCCGGACACCGAGAGCGCGCCGGGCCCCGAACGCGCCTCGCCGGGGCCACCGGCCAGGCAGCCCACGCAGCTGGTGCTCAGGCTCAAGGAACGCCCGAGCCCCGGGCCCGGGACGGGCTCCAGGGCGGCCAGGGCGGCGGCGGGGGGCGGCTCGGCCTCCCCGGGCCCCGGCGGCGTGGGCAGCGCGAGGCGCGCGGGCGCCAGCGGCGGAGCCGCCCAGGGCCGCAGCCCGCCGGCGCCGGGGCGCCAGAGCGTCATCCACGTGCAGGCGGCGGGCGGCCGGGACGAGGCGTGCGCGCCGGCCGTGGGCCCGCTGCGGCCGTGCGCCACGTACCCGCAGCAGAACCGCTCGCTGTCGTCGCAGAGCTACAGCCCGGCGCGCGCCGCCGCGCTGCGCACCGTCAACACGGTCGAGTCGCTGGCGCGCTCCGGGCCCGGGAGCCTGCCGGCCGCCGCGGGCGCGGCCGAGCACAAGTCGCAGACCTACAGCAACGGCTTCGGCGCGGCCCGCGACGGCCTGGAGTTCGCCGACGCCGACGCGCCGGCCTCGCGCTCGAACGGTGAGTGCGGCCGCGGCGGGCCCGGGCAGCGGCGCTGCCTGCGCGAGAACTGCGCCTTCTACGGGCGCGCCGAGACCGAGCACTACTGCTCCTGCTGCTACCGCGAGGAGCTGCGGCGGCGGCGCGAGGCGCGGGCGGCGCGGCCCTGAGCCCCGGCCCCCCGGCCCTGCCGTCCGCGTCCTTTTTTACACGCCCCGGTCCCCCGGCCGGCCGGCGCCGCGTGCTGTCAGTGCTGTGTACGTGTTTGGTCCAACGTTCCTAATGGTGCCTGAACCTACACTGACGCCACTCAGGTAGTAGACGGATAGGAAACAAGTCATACTGTGGGAGAGTGTGTGTGCTAGCCTAGCCTTCGCCTCGTACCGTGGAAACTCAATAGCCATTGCCAGAGTATTTTTGTTCCTCGATAAGAGAAATAAAGAAATTCGCAGCCCTTTGTTTTTAGAAGGGAGTGTTTTACATGCTTTTTTTTTTTTTTTTGGTGTTTTTTTCCCCCCCTAACCCGACGACTGACCTCTTCCAGCCAGCGGTCACTCGTGTGCGGTTGGTAGCACCCCAAGGTTTAAGAGCAAACACGCGGCCTGAGGGTGCGGGGCCCCACGTCCATGCCCTCCCATTCCTCCTGCCCCCCCCCCCCCCCGGCCCTCCGAGAGGGAGCAGCCACCTCACACCCACCGACGCTCCCCAGGGGTCTCCGCCACCCTGGGCCAAGCCTCCCTCCCCTTCCTCACCCTGGCTCGAGCAGCGGCCACACTGCCATGCCAGCCGCACGCGGCCTGGAGCGGACACTGGACAACCTACCTCGCGGTGCGCGGGGAGGGTGGTAGCGCTCACGGTTCCCGGGGCAGCTTACGGCGCAGGAGCTTTCCAAAGACAGCGCGGGTCCAAGCATCCGGGTCATAGCGCTAGGCCCACATCTGAGCAAGTGGGTGAGCTGCCTGCTCTCTCGGAAGACCCCTCCTCAGCGGGGAGGCCCTGGATGGTCCCCGGGAGCTGGGCACAGTGCCCTCAAAAAGAGGAGCCTGGCACTGACCTTGGGTCCCTGGAAGTCCCTACTAGGCTGCTTGGAAGCCCGGTCTACCCCTTGTTTCCAAAGGCAGAGGACCGGGAAGGATCCCCACCACCACCACCCACCTGCCTGGGCCTGGGCTCAGCTAGGCTCAGGGGCGCCCGGGCGTGGGGCCCTGCCTCGGTCACACGTGGAGGGAACAGCAGCTCCAGTCCCTCAACAGCCTCTTTTTTTGGTGCCTCCTACATTTCTTGAGGAAATAATAATAAAACAAAAATAATGTGTCCTTAGCTACCCTGTCCTGAGCAGCAATATATGCAGCCTCTTGCTTTCAACATTACCTCTGGAGACCGCAGGTCTTGGCCAAGGACACAGAGGACCTCACCCTGCCTCCCCAAGGGCGAGGCTTGTTTCCAAGACAGAAGTGTAAGGGGAGTAAAACAAAGTCCTCACTCCCACGAGGAATGCTTTAGCACCTGTGAGAGCCTTAGCCCAGCCTCTGATGACCCCCACGCAAGGCACAGGGCGCCTGGCGGGGCTCTGCGTGTGTGGGACATTGAACCCCCGTGACACACAGAGCCACAATGCAGAAAGAGAAAAACAATGGCAAGGGAACTTTTTGTTTTTAACTGGTTTGAAGACTTATAAAATAACCCTCCCATCCTTCTTTCTGTTTTTTCATTACTACAGAATGTAGGGCTTTTTGTAATTTCGGTTTTGCCTAGGTGGTTCCTCTGAGCAGCATAGACCCACTAGACGGAAGCGGCTTCTGTGGTTCGACTTTCTGTGCTGAACAACACTGTCAGGGTGACGTGCGTGTTCCTGGGGTCTCTGTCACAAAACCAGCCGTGATGAGACACTGCCCCTGGAGGTGCTGTGGCCGCTGTGGGCAGATCGCTCCTGTGATACCACTGGACGCCTCACTTCCAGGGCAGACCCCCCCCATTTCAGCTGTGCACTGTGCAGCCAGAAGCCAGGCTCACACAGGCAGTCAGGGAAACATAAAGCAAGTTTGTTGCTCTTGTTTCTTTTTTTTTTTTTTTAACATTGATAGAGCCAACAAAAAATTCCCAAAACTGTCTAAGAAAGTCTTTTTCTTTTTCCATGCTTTCTGCCACATTAATAAAAAGAAAAACAAAAAGGTGAGGGGGAGGAATCATGAGGAAACAGAATAAAAATTATCTAGTGTCACACAGGAGAGCCTTGCAAATACAGTATAATGCCTATGTACGAGTATTGTTATTTAAAAAACAACACAAAAAGCTTTGTGGCCTATTCCGTCACCTTGCATCTCCACCTGCTGACAGGTGCACATGACCATGAACAGAGCCGGAAATTAAACCACTGGCCACCCCCAAGCTCCAGCTGCCGTGTCAGGGGCCACAGCCTTTCAGCATGGTCACCAGGCAGGCTGGCCAAGCCAGGGCACCCGGCAGCTGCCACTGCCTGCTCCTGGCTGAAATGCCACGTCTCTGCCCCTGTCGCTTCCGAATAGCCATCTCCCTTCATGAGGGCCGTGCACCTGCCCTTGCTCTCCACAGTGTTGAAATTGCCAGTGTGAGAGCGTCTGCTCTGGTTAGAGACCTCATGACTTCATCACAGGGCGGCCAGGCCCCAGGGGGTCCCGTGGTTTACAGCTAACCCTGCCCCTCTACTCTGGCCCAGCTCCCCTTTCTGGGAAAGTGACAGCAGATTTCCAGAAGGATCCAGATATTTCCAACCTCCCTTCGGAGGTTGTTTCCAAAGTTTGCTTCGTAATTCTTGCACATCCGCTGTGTAAATGCTTTAAAAAATATATTAGATATTGTTAAGGGAAGGTGTTTTTCAGTATATTCTGTAGATGTTTGTGCTACCTTACACTGAAATTTTACATGCCAAGTTTCAACTGTATAAAGACATTATTTTTCTGTTAATTTCAAAGTTACACAGAGCAGTCTCCTACAGCCTTCTCAACCCGGGGCTGTCCTGGGGCAGAGCAGTGAGGTAGGCCAGGGCCCACTGCGGGCTCTCGGGGTGACAGTAGTGGGCTGGGACCCCGCTGCTGGCTCTCGGGGTGACAGTGGTGCCTGAGGCCCCACTGCGGGCTCTCGGGGTGACAGTATTGGGCTGGGACCCCGCTGCTGGCTCTCGGGGTGACAGTGCTGTATGAGGTGGGCCGGGGCCCACTGCGGGCTCTCGGGGTGACAGTGGTGCCTGAGGCCCCGCTGCGGGCTCTCGGGCTGACAGTGGTGCCTGTGGTTTGTGTGGACACTCCCTGAAAAGGGGGGCTGTGCGCTCGCCATCTGCTTCTCAACAGGAAGTGTGGTTTCCCTCGTCCTGTTTGTGGATTTTGATTCTGCTCCTCCGCCCGCTGAGTGAACTCACCTGACCACCTCACAGATCACTGTGGACTTGGGAGCTAGTTCCCCCCAGTGGCGTCAGAATCTATTCCTTCACAGATTGAATGTTTCCCAAATGATGGCTCAATTCCAGTAGCTTTCAGTTCCAGGAATTTGGTGGCTAAACCTGCAGAGAGGCTGCAGCTCAGCCCTAGGCGCGCCCTGCAGGGCCCTCACCGTGTCTCCAGTGGACGGGCCGTGGCTACGGCGCCTTCGCTGCCTTTGTGTCCACAATTTATTTTACAGACTAACTCTATTTTGCAAAACCAAACTTGACCTAGCAAAATATATTTCACACTATTTAAGAAAAAGGGCTGTACCTATCAGTGGAGGGAATTTGTGCAAGAAAAAAAAAAAAAAAAAACTTTGCCAAAAACCTGTGTTAAGTTGTATTGTGTGTGAGTCCTTTCCATGCGCCCCCACACCTGGCGTGCAAGCCGGAAGTGGTCACTGCCCACAGGGGTGTCTTTCTTCCGACCCGATTCTCTTTATCCTGGTGTGGACTTTACATTCCTCCCACAGTCTTTCTCTTTTCCACAGCACTTGTAACAAATACAGAAAGTGTGTCTGCACGACAGAGTGCAACCCCGTCTTGTTTACCCCCACCGGCTCCAACTTCTGCCCTGCTGACAGCAAGTCTGATCCTGCAGGAACAAGGGCCCCGGGGTGGCTGGAGCCCCTGGTACTGGGAGCCAGCAACCCCTTCTGAAACGCCTGCACATGGAGACCCCTGGGGACCTCCTTCCCTTATCCCTCTCTAGAACAGGACTGAACCATTGGGGCGTGGCTCACCAACTGCTGTGACCTCAGCTTCCTGCGCCTCGAGTTCCATGGTGCTGCCCCATGTTGCTCCCCAGCAGGTGTCTGCAGTGCTGTCTGGTTGACAAGAGGCCAGGTCCAGGCCAGTCTGTCTCAGGAGGCCAGCACCCACCCGTGATGCCCAGAGCACCCACACCCACCCCAGCAGGCTCCCTTGCTCGGAGTACCCCCAGTGCAGCACAGGCTTTCCAGAACAGCTCGGAGCAGCGTGCAGGTGATACATACACGGTCACACGGTCACTTCTCTCCATGCAGACCCCTTCTCCCTCCCCAATGCACTCTGGGGCACAGGGGAGTCAGCAAGGGAGAGACCCTGCAGGGATAGCCCCGGGACCCCCAAACGTGCCATCATGCAGCACTCCACCAGGCTGTGCTGAAAGCACCTGATCCTGGGGGGCGACACCACAGCCATTGTCTCCAGACACGCCAAGGGATAGCACTGTTTCCCTGAAGGATATGTTGGCATTTGTATTTTTACTGAGTCTTGGCAAAAAAAAAAAAAATATATATATATATATATAAAATATAAATAGGTATATATAAATGAATATAAATAATAAACCAGCCCTAATTATATCTGTTCAAAATGATACACATTGCTTTTACTTTTTTTATTTCTCAAGAACATTTCCAAGAGATAAATAGCTATTATTGTTATTATACTTTAACATGTGGTGGCATATATGCCAATTTTAATATTAAAATACAAATGGACATATTAAAACACATGGACAAAACCCAATATCAAAGTGACCTGTTAGTGCCATAAGGACCAGGAGGCAAATCTTGGGAACAGGCCTGCGGACACTGGAGGATCACACAGTTTCCCATCCCCAAAGCCACACCCTCACCAAGACCCCCCTGCCCAGTACCACTGCAGCAAGAGACACAGGCTCTGCCCCCTTCCGCCATGCCAGCTGTAAGCACCAGGCAGCCTCTTCCC